TTAATAAGCTTGGGATCTCTCATCGTCTATCATGTCCTCATACACATCAGCAGAACGGCGCTGTTGAGCGCAAGCATCGACATGTAGTTGAGACCGGACTCACACTCCTGGCTCACGCTTCTGTACCTTTTTGTTTTTGGAGTGATGCCTTTGCTACAACATGTTTTCTTATTAACCGACTACCTATGCGTGTCCTTAATATGAAAACTCCTATTGAGCTCCATTTACATGAAACTCCTGACTATACCTTTTTAAGGTGTTTGGGTGTGCCTGTTGGCCCCATCTTCGTCCATATAATCATAGAAAGCTTGAATTTCGGTCTATGTGTGTTTTTGGGTTATAGTTCTCTTCATAAAGGCTACAAGTGCCTTCATGTGCCAACAAATCGTGTCTACATATCCCGTGATGTTGTCTTTGATGAGAACGTCTTCCCCTTTTCCGCCATGCCACAGCAACCCGCTCCACCCCCATCTATGCATTCATCTCCTATTATGCTTGGCCAATTTGAAGATGTTGCATATTCACCTGTGTTGTTACCTAACCATGGTGCAGGTATTGGATGTGGTGCTCGCATGGAACTACTTCCGGATGCAACTCCTGTGACGCACGTTGATCGGTCGGTGCACGTGCATGCACCGACTCTCGTCGTCGACCCCGTCTCTGGAGCCACGCCCGCCCATGCAACTGGACCGGTGACGGCCTCCGAACCTGGGCCGGTGCCAGCCGAGGCGCGACCCACGTCAGCCGAGGCGCGTCCCCCGTCTCCGACGGTCTCCCCTGGGCGGCTCGAGTGGTCCTCATCACCGTATCCACGCCCGGCCTCGCCTCCTTCATCGCCTTCGTCGCACGCCCGTATGTACCTGTCGCCCCTTTCACCTGGGTCGGCTGGGCCTACCGTTGACTTGCCCGAGCTCTCGTCTGGGCTCCCGTCGCCCGCCCTGCCGTCATCGTCTCCAGTATTGGCGCCGCCGGCTCCTGTTCCAGTTGCACCGCAAGGTCCGCATACTCGCAGCCGCAATGATATTGTTCAACCGAAGAAACGTCATGATGGTACTGTCACATATTTGGCTGCCTATCTTGCTCATTCTGTTGCAGATCCAACTGATGAACCACGCAACTATGAGGCTGCTATGAGTATTCCTCACTGGTGGGCTGCTATGGAGCAAGAGTACCACACTCTTATGCATAATGAGACATGGACACTGGTTCCCCCTCCGCCTCGCGTCAACATCATTGATTCTAAGTGGGTTTTCAAAGTCAAGAGACATGCGGACGGATCTATTGAGCGCTACAAGGCGCGTCTCGTGGCTAGAGGGTTTAAACAGCGTCGGGGTCTGGACTACGAGGACACATTCAGCCCGATTGTTAAGCCTACTACTATCCGGCTTCTCCTGTCTCTTGCAGTCTCTCGTGGTTGGTCTTTTCGACAGCTTGATGTGCAGAATGCTTTTCTCCATGGGCTGCTTGAAGAGGAGGTTTACATGCGACAGCCACCAGTGTTTGTTGATCACGCTCAGCCTCATCATCTCTGTCGTCTGACGAAGGCTCTCTATGGACTGAAACAGGCGCCTCGTGCCTGGCATGCTCGCCTTGCTTCGGCCCTTCGTACTCATGGATTTGTTCCGTCGACAGCTGACAACTCGCTGTTCTTATTTCAGCGCCCCAGTGTGACTATGTATTTGCTTGTGTACGTGGATGAAATTATTCTGGTCAGCTCCTCTGCAACGGCTGCTGATGCTCTGGTGACTGCACTTGGCAGAGATTTTGCGGTAAAAGACTTGGGGGCAGCTACACTTCTTCCTGGGCATTGAAGTTGCACATCAGTCTCGTGGCAGCTTAGCTCTCACCTAGAAGAAGTACTCCCTTGACCTCTTGCGCCGTGCTGGTATGCTCAAGTGTAAGCCATCCCCCACACCCATGTCCTCTACTGACAAGCTCTAGGCTACTGCTGGTACTATTCTCTCTCCTACGGATGCTACGGAGTATCGGGGTATTGTTGGTGGCTTGCAGTATCTGACCATCACACGCCCTGATCTTTCCTTTGCGGTTAACAGGGTATGTCAGTATCTTCATGCTCCTACTGATGTGCACTGGTCTGCTGTGAAGCGCATTCTTCGTTGTGTGCGTCTCACTGTCTCCTATGGTCTTCATCTGCGACCTAGTTCCTCTGCTGTTATATCTGCATTCTCAGATGCTGATTGGGCTGGGTGTCCGGATGACAGGCAATCCACGGGGGGATATGCTGTATTTTTGGCTCCTAATTTGATCACGTGGAGTGCACACAAGCAAGCCACTATTTCTCCCAGCAGCACAGAAGCCGAGTACAAAGCAGTTGCCAATGCGACTGCTGAGCTTATCTGGATTGAGTCTTTGCTTCGAGAGCTGGGAATCTCCCAGTCACATCCTCCAGTTCTTTGGTGTGACAACATCAGTGCTACGTTTCTTTCAACAAACCCGATGTTTCATGCACGAA